TTTAGATGTGGAATCTTAAAAAACCAAAACAAATGAATAAGCAAAACAAAACAGAAACAGATCCATAGATACAGAGAACAAGCCGATGGCTGCCAAAGGGGAGAGGGATGGGAAGATGGATGAAATAAAAAAGAAAAGAAAATTTAAAAAAAGTACCTTGACACTGGGCTTAGGGTGTCAGTCCTGAAAGCCAGACTTTGAAAAAACAAAACAAAACAAGTTACATACAAAGACTCAAAACAGGATCCCTTCACCCTGCCCATCGGCACCGGGACAGCATGTTTTCAAAAGAAAAAAAAAAAGAAAGGAACGAGCTGGTCTTTAGGTCGTGTACAATTCAGGGCAGGTCATCAGAATGCAAGTGAGAAACGGGGGTGATGTCAGAAGGAGAAGTCTGGATTTATCCTGATTTGTAGAAGAAGCAACACGGCACCGCTTTAACTCGTATCTGCCACAGATTATTTGCTGTAAAGCTCACAATTCCCACACACCCCGTGCGAAGCAGCTGTTAGCACATATGACGTTTTGGCAAAAATTAGAAAAAGGCTCCTCTTACTCAAGAAAAACACTTTCATATCAGCAGATATATTTCTCAACAATAATAATTACAGCCAATTTAAAGCCTGCTCCACGTAAATTGTACAAATCTTACTGCTTAACCTAAAATAACAGTGTTTTCGAGATCCTAAACATTCACTTTTTCCCAGATAGAATGTTTTATTTGAAAATAATTACATTGTGCCTTCAGAGAAACCACATTCTTTATAATAGTTTCAGCCTTCTTGCTTCTGTATCTCATTTTCTTTGACAGTGGTCTCTGGCTTTGACAGTCTCTTATGTGACATTGTAAACTTTTATCTTAGAATGCTTAACACTTTACGATGCTTCACTGGTCACCAGCCACACGACTTTAATAGCACTTAACCTTTGCACTGACAAAACTTCCAGAAAAGCAAAAGCAATATATGGCAATGTAATACTTACTGTATATATTTTTGATGGTAAATATTAACAACTATATACCACCTCGTGTCTTAACGAAGTACTCATTATATATTTATAGAGTACCGACAATAACATTTTGACGAACGATCTGTACTATCCCATGTAGCTGTTCTATAACTCCAATAAGGAATTTCTTTAATTTAAAAAAGATGTTTTGTTTCAGACAGAAAAGCAGCTACATTTATGCTAGATGTTTCTAGGCTGATAAATTATTTCCATCATGAACCGGCTCCCCCTTTGTTCCGACTTTATCCGCTCTGTAAGGAAGACCCTTCGTTCCTTCCCATCAGGAAGTTGTGGTAATGGGCTGATTTTGTTAGAACAAGAAACATTTCAGCCATCTGCGAGGAG